AGAGAATTAGCACTGAGGCTGGAAGGAAGGGTAAGGAAGCCCATGCCACAGAGCAAAACATACAACTGAGAGGGAGGCCTATGTCCAGGAAATTGCTTAGTCTGAAACTGACCCTCTTCTCTCTGAGGAGTGCTAGCGGTCACTCCTATGCTCCAAATGTTACTCATGAGCTGTTGGTTATTAGTTTTCCAGCAGGCAGAGCGGAAAACGCAAGGGTAAAAAAATAGAGTTAATGACCCTCCTTGCTTCCTGTTCTGTGCCTCTTTCATCTGAAGTGCTGTGTTCTGAGATGGAACGCCTCACTTTCTCTCCGTGGACACATGCAGCTCCAGCATCCTTTCCTGTGTTTGCATGTAACCACAAAGAGCTTAATGAAAAATATCCGGCATCCTGAATTCTGGGAGGTAAAATGGAACAGGGAGCTGGAGAGATGGCTCAGGGGATCCTACGCCCTCTTCTGGCCCCCATGGGCACTGCACACACGGTACACATACATACATGCAAGCAAAACACCTATACACATGAAATAAGATAAACCAATCTAAAAACATCTTTTAAGTAGAGCAGTATCAAAAATGAGTTATTAAACCTGTCATCCCAGAGCTTGGGAGGTGGAAACAGGGGGTCAGGAGTTTAATGCCATCCTTGGCTATGTAGTAGATTTGAAAACAATGTGAGGCTACTTGAGATCCTATCTCAAAAAATAAAAACCAGGGGCTGGAGTGATGACTCAGCAGTGAAGAGCACTGACTGCTCTTCCAGAGGACCTGGGTTCAATTCCTAGCACCCACATGGCAGCTCATAACTGTCTTTAACTCCAGTTCCAGGGGATCCAACACCTTACACAGACAAACATGCAGGCAAAACACCAATGCACATGAAATAAATTTAAAAATAAAAATAAAAACCAAAACCAAACAAACAGTAAAGTCAGTAAAACACAGACACCTTTAAATATAGCTCTTTCTATAAAAGCCTTTAAGCCCTTAGTCTTCCTAGATTTATATAAATTTTGCAGAAAAAACTGAAATACTATTTTTCCAGGTTAAAGTGTCTCACTCTTGAATTCTCAAACTTTAGATTTCCTACGCCCTCCCTACTGTTCCTTCTCTGTTTCTAGTCTATCCCACTGTCTCTAAGTATGATCTGAGGGTAATGCACCAAAAGATGTCTTTAGGGACTATGGAGCGGCTCAGTGATTAAGAGTGAGCAGTCTGAGCAGTCATGAAGACCTGAGTTCAAATCCCCAGCACCCATGTGAAGAAAGCCAGGCGAGGCCGCATACATGTGCCTGTAACCCCAGCTTTGGGGACCGAGGACAGGCAGATCCTGGGAGCACAGTGGCCAGCCAGCCTAGTGGAAACATTAATCTTTGAGTTTGGTCAGAGATCCTGTCTCAAGAGAATAAGGTAGAGATTAACAGAGGAGGAGGCCCCACACATCCCACACTCTCCTCTGGTCTGTATGCACTCAAACACACATGCACACACAGCACATGCAGGAACACACACACACACACACACACACACACACACACACACGTGTCTGGTCAGCCACCAGTGGCCTCCACATTAGCATCTGAGTAATCATCCTTTTCCTCACTTCCTTCTCCCCAGACAAGCTAAGCTCTGCACAGGCTCTCACAATTCCCTTTTCATGTGTTATTACATGTAATAACACATGAAAAGTTTCTATATCCATCCTACTACAGAGATACCTGTTCATCCGTGTTCATTGCTGCTCTAGTCACAATTAGCCAGAAACAGAAGCAGCTTAAATGTCCATCAGTGGGTGAAGGGAAGAAAATACAGTACATTTACACAATGGAGCATTAGTCAGCTGTTAGGAAAAACAAAACTGTGAGATTTTCAGAGAAATGAGGAGAGCTGGAAACAATCATTTTGGGTGTCGTAACTCGGCTCAGAAAGATAAAAGTGGATGTTAGCTTTGAATTTTCAGATATGTATGATTCATTTGGAATATCCATTGAGATGAGGAGATAACTAAGGGGTCGTGGTGAGGGGAGCTTTCAAGAGACGGGAGATAGAATGCAGTGATCTAATGGGTTAAAGGAAAACAACGGAACAGGAAGGGTTAAACTGGGTAGGGGATGGGAGGGTGACACAGAGGAGGAAAACAGAAAGAGATAACTAACACTAAAGGCTTTTTTAAAAAGTCCTATGGAAACTTACCGTTGTAGAAACCTAAAATGTAAACATACCCACACTAATAGTTCAAATGGTGTCACACTGTAACAGGGTGACAACGCCCCTGCTGGACACCACAAACTAACAAAAAGCCCAGTTCTCCTGGGCAGTGGTGGTGCACACCTTTGATCCCAGCACTCTGGAGACAGAGGCAGGAAGATTTCTCTGAGTTCAAGGCCAGCCTGGTCCACAGAGAGAGTTCCAGGACAGCCAAGGCTACACAGAGAAAACCTTTCTCGAAAAACAAACAAACAGAAAAAAAACAAAACAAAACAAGCCCAGTTCCAAGAATGCATTACCTCAGTTACCTCTTAGGGAGCTGTTGATCAGTGAGGTCCCCAAACATTCCAGGCAATTGCCAGTACTTTTGTGAGTCCTCCAGAACTTGGTGGTTAAGACTTGAGTCACGCAACCTGGACAAATCAAGTTTGTACTCACATGGAACATTCATCTCTGCTGGTTAGCTTTCATAAGGCTAGAAGATGCTATGCCCACCACTGATGAAGAGAATTAATCATCAATCTTGCTCGCCTATGACCCCTTCAAGCTACAATAGAGACCAGTCTGGCAAGACACACCCACGGGAGCAGTATTGGCACAGATGTCATGGGAGTAACCAATCACTTTCTGATTTGATTTAAGGCCTGCTCCACAAGATAGAACCCAGAGCCGGCACCATTATCAAGACCAAGAACCTTTGGCTGGACAGATCATGGGCTATAGAGGAGAACCTATCATTCTGCTAAATGTATGTAACATCCAACTGACTCCTAATGGCTTATTGTTAGACACATAGGTTAGTGCATCCCTCAAGCCTCATCTGAGAAGCCTCTTTTTTGCAGGAGATGGAGATTAACACAGAGACCCACAACTGGCCAAGGTGCAGAGAGTAAAAGACCGTAGAATATTCAGCCATAAATGAGACATTTATATCACAATGCCTCTTCCCACAGCTTAGAGATCATTTTGAAAAGGGAGCAGTAAGACTGTAAGAGCCAGAGATGGTGGATAACTAAAAAAAAAAAAAAAAGTTTTCAGATGTCCCAATACCTGCATGAGCTCAAACCAGACCAAAGCATGGAGAGAGGAGACAGGCTGGAAGTCCTGCTCCCAGAAGAGGGTTGGTAATTGATAGCTCCTAGGACAGAGAGAATCCAGAGAGTCCATTTCCTTTAAAGGCATGGCCTCTGGTAGGTCAACCATTCTTCAGTGGAAGGCCACATATCCAAGAATATATGGGTAGCACAAATTTGACCTGGTGGGTTTGAAAGGAAACAAACTTGATGGGTTTGAAAGGAAACAAACTATGATACAAAGTTAGGTGGGGTAGGAAAAGGTGGTGGATCTTGGAGGAACTGGGGGAGAGGAGTGAATAAGATAAAAAAAATAGGTTTTATGGAATTCTCAAAGAAACAATAAAAAGGGATTTTAAATTTAAAAAGGATACAGATTATTTCAAATGATCACTTTGGGTTGCTATTGCAACTAATATGGATGGCTATTACCTTGGTGTGGCCTCTGTCTAAAATAACAAAAGGAAGCTGCCACTCCCCAAAGAAAGATAGCCGAAGTCCACTCCCTTGACCAGAACCCAAAGTCTCCAGGTCTCAGATCCAAAGTCTTACAGTTCTGTGTGAATCCTGATTTTCAAAAAACAAAAACAAGCAAACAAAAAAAAACCTTAGACGTAGGCAGTAGTTAGTTAGACTAAACAGTAAATATTACCATCCAACCACACACTCCAAAGAGCACACTGGAGACTGTTCTTTCCACTTACAGCATGCGAGCGAGCGAGGAAGTCCAGGCAGCTGTACTTTGCTTTCAGATGCTGAGTTCCCATGGGTTTTCACACTTTCTCTTCCACTGCTGCCCACCTCCAGCTAGTTCTGGGGATAATCTGAAGGTTTTGCCCTAGAGTGACCCGAATCTTCATTTCTGACATGAAAAGGTGGGCTGGAACCATCATTCCTATTCTTATATCCCGGCTTCCACACTTCTGCTAATCCCTACTTGATATAATGGCCCAATTGAGTGCTTCATGGAACCTTGTTACATCCTTTATTTTTTTGCTGTTACACAAGGCCAGTCACGACAGGCAAAACTGTGACCTCTTTTTGGTTTAACTGTATAAGCAGGCGTCACTCTCACATCTCAATTCAGTGAAGTCATTTTGGCCTTCTTAGTGGAAGTAAGTAACTACATACAAGAAATACTAACCGAATGCAGGTGGGATATCCCTAATCCTCTCCAGAGGACCAGGGTAGATTCCCAGCACCACACGGCCGGCCGCTCACGACTATCCATAACTCCAGCGTTCCAGTGCCCTCTACCAGCCTCTGCGGTCACCAAGCACACAAGCCAATAGTTTGTGAGTCACAATACTAGGAAATGGAACAGCCTATGTCAGTGAACAGAGAAAAAGATGAAGAAAAGGTAGTGGGGGGGCGGGTTACATGCTTGTATCCAGCACTTGGGAGGCAGCCGCAGGAGGGTCTCTGTGAAGTCAAGGCTAGAGAGTTCCAGGGCAGCTGGGGCTATGTAAAGAGACCCTGTCTCCAAAAGGAGGGAAGGAAGGAAGGAAGGGAGGAAGGGAGGGAGGGAGGGAGAGAGGGA